GATCCGCCATCTTGTTTGTTAACCTCTCACGGCTGGTAAATTTTAACTGCCGACCTTGCGGTTGAGTGCTTTATCCTAAAGTGCTACACCAGGACTTCTGTTGTGGATAACAGAACATTCATTTTCATTGTGGAAAGAATCCTTACAACCTTTTATTTGGTTTAAAAATTGAGGAAATAAAGCTTTTAATAGTGTTTCCATATTTGGAAGACAAGAAACTGACAACTGAAGAAGCTTTCTCCTTCACTTTATTTTCTGACTTTCCTAATAAGGTTCTGAATTGAAGCCCTGTTTTTAGGTGCCCTTCCACCAATTTATTTTCACCAAAAAAGCAAAAGCCATGTAACTGAGGTCCCTTGCTATTAAGAAAACAATACTAAAGCCAGAGCTGAGAAGACAGAGGAGAGGGGCCAGCAGAACTGGTAGGTGGTGGAGAGGTGGTTCTGCAGACGTGTTCATGGAGCAGCGCTTGGCTTGTTGGAAACGAGCAGTTGATGGTATGTCATTTCCGCCTCAGCCAGAGTGGTTAAAGAGAAGCAGCAGCAGCATCCGAGACCCTGAGTCTAATTCCAGGACTGCAACTTGGTAACCCTGGCTTCATTTCTCAGCTGTTTTACAAGGACGCAACCTGCCCTGCCTTCACATCGTTGATGTTAGGGGTAGATGATACAGATCAAAAAACAAGAGTTTGCTTTTTAGTCAATGCACTGTGAACCACAACGTCTGTGGTTCAAGCCCACCAGCCACAACGTGGGAGAAAGATGAGGCTTTCTGCTTCTGCAAAGATTTAAAACCTTGCAAACAACAGCACTTAACAGTATCTATATATGTGTATCTATATAGATATATATCTATAAGGAACTCTGGTAGCGTAGTGGTTACGAATTGGGCTGCTGACCTCAAGGTCAACAGTTAGAAACTACCAGCTGTTCCGCGGGAGAAAGATGAGGCTTTCTGCTCCCGTAGAGATTTACAGCCTCAGAAACCCTGTACAAGGTTGGTATGAGTTGGAACCGACTCCACGGCACATAACAACATATATATATATATGAGAAAGGGAGAGAGAGAGGAGAATGTGTGAGTCAGTCAGTCCTGTTGTGGTACTGCACGTTAATGCACTGGACTGCAAGGTCAGTTTGATCCACATGATCGGTGGATCAAGCCCACCCGTCGCTCCTTAGAAACCCTAAACAACTTCGCTATGAGTTGGAATCGTCTTGACGGCTCTGAACAACTCTCTCTCTCTCTCAATGTATCTATCTATCTAGATAAAGAATTCCTATATTTTGCTTATTTTCATTTTCTGTGGATTATATATTTTGTTGTATTTATAACTGAAAAATTTCAAGTGTAACCCCTACATTAAAACTCAGAAACAACATACTGTAACACCAAGTGTAGGCTTAGCAAACAGGTGTGGTTTGGTTTTGCCAGCAGACAATAGGTCTGAAGGAGTAGAATTTTGTAGATGTTTTAAAAGATGTCCTCAGAATATATCATATTCCTATATGTTACAAAATAGGGTTAATATAGTTGTGTTCTCTAAAGAGTATGTGTATGGTAGCTAATCCCTGTTGAACGTGTGTTTCTCCTTTGTAAATCCAGTGACTTTTATGTTTCAGATTAGTGCATGGCTCGGTAAAACACAGATTACAGTGGGAGTGTCCTCCTGAAAATCTTCCCTTCGATCCTCTTCTTATTACTTTAGCTGAGGTAAATATTCCGTCTCTCTTTGAATGTTTAAGGAAAGAAACCTTTTTAAATTACACTGTTGTTTTGTGTAACTCATCAGTAAGTCATTCTGTAGTGTTAAAGATAAAGAACCAAGTAATAGGCATTATAGAAGGCATCCTCAGTTCACCCACCTTAGGAACTAAACTTGCTTAGTGTATTTTCATTTGAAACTCAGTAATCAGCTTAATAAACATGAAGTTCGTCTACACTGGGATTTGTAGCTAAGTGGATGGAAGATCTGTACTCTATTCTAAAAATAAAAGAAGGAATGAAGAGGAAGGTTACTTAGTCTAGTCAAAGCAGCGGAATGTTGCTGGTTTCAGGTAACCGACATCAGAGGAGAGACTGGCTGGCTGGTGTGTTTGTGTATAGTGAGTGTTGTTCGACATGGTGAGTTTCTGAGAGAAGTGATCTTACTGCATATGGCTGTATGTGTAGACTTTTCTGTCACAGCACTTGACTCTGCTTGAGCATTTTAAATATTGCGGAGGTGGTTTTGATAGAAATTGTTTTGGTTTAAATCTAAGTTTCTTTAACATTTGTATCAGGAGAAAGGGGGCCCTGGTGGCACACTGGGTAAGCCCTCAGCTACTTACCTAACCCAGAGGGTGGTGGTTTGAACCCACCACGTGCTCAGTGGGAGAAAGATGACGCAGTCTGCTTCTGTAAAGATTGTTGCTTAGGAAACCCTACTGGGCAGTTCTCTGTCCTTCAGGGTCACTGTGAGTTGGATAGTGGAGGTGGTTTGGGTTTATCTGGAAAAAAGGTTGGAGGAGCATTGGCCTCAAGGGACTCAGTGATAGCTTCTGTTAATTTTATTTTGAGAGGTGGAATCAGAAGTTGAGGAAGGAATTATTTAGTGGACCTTGATTTGATCATTTGCTCACTTGCCTGTTTGGAAAGTTGAGGCTAATGCTTTGTGTTACCATTGTCAAAGAAACAACTGACGATAGTAATGTAGAGATAATGTGATGTTTCTAGATTAGTTGTTTGTTATTAAGCGACTGACATAAGAACATACATTGTAAACAAGAGGATAAGTGAGTTTTCTTTAGTTACAGACCCTGTTCTAAATATGAACTAATGAAGCAGTTCTGAATTGTAAGCAGCATCAAGAGCTCGGGGTCCTTTGTTAATTCTCTAACTCTATTTGGTCTCTGATGTTAACATGCTGGTTACTACCAAAGACTGCAGACTTGTTTGAAGTTTTGGCTTTTCTTAGTTTATAGATCAGCTTATGGAATGCATTTGCTATGACAATGTGTAGGACTTCTTTGTTACCATGTGCTGTTGTATACCATAAGTGGGTGGCTTTCACAAAGACAAACTGTTTTGCTCAGAGTTTGGGAGGCTAGAATCTGAATTTAGAGAGCCGGCTGTCAGGGAAGGCTTTTTCGCTTTCTGCTCTTGGGAAAAGTCCTTGTTACTTCAGTGTCTGCTTCCTGGTTCCTTAGAGGTCTCCGTGTGTCCTGGGCCTCTGTCTTACTCTTTTTTAATTTTTTCTGCTGATGTGTTTAATCTCTTTTTATATCTCAGAAGAGATTGATTCAGGTTGCACCCTACACTGACCCTGGGTGTGAACCACTGACTTTGAGGTTAGCAGTCCAAAACTTATCCTGTAGCTCTACACCAGAGTTCGACCATGGGCACAGAGGTTCGGAGGTTCGGATCGACAACACATACTTTTTTAATGAGTGGGGGTATCGGTCATAGAGTGTCATAATTCAGTCCACCACAGTGGATGATCTCTTTCGTAATTTAATTCTGATCCAAACCATCTAAATTTTATATTACAGATAAAGAACTTAGTAATACTTCATGAGTTCTGTTTTTAAACTTTGAACCATTTATGAACGGTAGCAAAATGACGCCTTTGAAAATATAAGTCCAGCTAACGATCCGGTGAGGGACAGTGTGTGAAATTCGGGAGTCCTAAAAGTTTGGAGCACATTTTCTCAGTGCACTGGGAATTGTAATTACAAAAAAGCAAAGCTAATCATCATGCTTCTGATTTTGACTTGACTGCTGAGCACTCACTGTTTTGTTTGTTTGCTGCTGTTAACACAACAGGATCCTAAGTGCTGTCTGTTTTCTTTGGCAGGGTCTGAGAGAGACGAAGCATCCATACACCTTTGTGTCAAAGGAGGGTTTTAAAGAGTTACTTTTGGTCAGAGGAGCTCCTGAAAAAGCTGTTCCTCTGCTTCCCAGACTCATTCCTGTGCTGAAGGCAGCTCTGGTTTGTACTTTATTTCCTGGTACTTTCTACATCAAAAGGGAACACAAAGGAAAGTGCATTTAGCATATTTATGTGCTTTACTGTATTCCAAATTTTATGTAAATCCACCATTCATTGGTTGGTTTGTAATACTGTAGTGGCTTGTATGTTGCTGTGATGCTTGAAGCTATACCAACAGTATTTTAAATACCAGTTGTTGTTGTGAGTGCCATGGAGCCAATTCCGACCCATAGTGACCCTGTATAGAGTTTCTGAAGAGCAGCTGGTGAGCTTGAACCGCAGACCTTGCATTTCAAATGGCTTTGCAATCTGGTGCATTAACCCACAGTGCCGCACCAGGACACCATAGGCTCACCAATAATGGACAGGTTTCAACAGAACTTCCAGACTAAGACACACACTAGGAAGAAGGAGAGGTAAACTATTTCTGAAAACCTTATGAATAGCAGTTAAACATTGTCACATATAAGGACAGAAGATGAAAAGCTTTTAAAGAGCACCAGAATCTTGTCAGATACAGTGCTGTAAGATGAGCCTCTCATGTTGGAAGGCACTCTCAATATAATTGGGGAAGAGCTGCCCCTCGGATTAGAGTTAACCATGATGACACAGTGGAGTAAGCTTTTGGGACTGTTATTTGCTAATGGGGCACAACTCAAAATGAGGCGAAATAGCTGCAAATATGTTAATCAGAATCTGCAATGTATGAAGGATGAATTGGTAAAAATACAATGAAGTGGAATGCATAAAGATCGATCTCTTAAGCATTAGTGAGCTGAAATGGACTAGTATTGGCCATTTTGAATCTGACAAACATTTACTATGCCAGGAACAGCAAATTGAAGAGGAATTTTACGGGATTGATCATCAAAAAGAACATTTCAAGAACTTTCTTGAAGTACCATGCCATCTGTGATAGGATAATATCTGTATGCCTAGAGGGAAGACAGTTAATATCACTAGTATTCAAATGTATACATCATCCACTGAAGACAGTGATGATGAAATTGAATTCTGCTAACTTCTTTTGTCTGAAATTGATCACACATGTAATCAGAAGGTATTGATAATTACTGATGATTGGAATGTGAATGCTGGAAACAAAGAGGAAGGCTCAGTTGTTGGAAAATACAGCCTTGATGATGGAAACAATGCTGGAGATCCCATGATAGACATTTGTAAGACCAATTTGTAAGACTCACTACAAATACGTTTTATAAACAACATAAAAGACGAGTATACTCTTGGACCTCACCTGATGGAATACACAGAAATCAAATTGACTACCTCTGGAAAGAGATGGTGGTAAAGCTTGATATCTTCAGCCAAAGTAGGGTAGGGGGCAGACTGGAACAGACCAACAATTACTCATGCAAGTTCAGACTGAAGCTAAAGAATAATAAAGCAACTCTATGAAAGGCAACCTATGACCTTGAACATCTCCCACCTGAATTTAGAGATCGTATCAAGAACAGATTTGATGCATTAGACACTAATTACTGACGATCAGAAGAGTTGGGGGAAGACCTCAAGAACACCTTACAGGAAGAAATCAAAGCCATTTAAAAGATAGGAAAGAAAGAAAAGACCAAATGGGATGTAAGAAGAGACTCTGAAACTTGCTATCCACATAATGCTAAAGCAAATGGAAGAAATGAGGAGGTAAAATAGCTGAAGAGAAAATTTCAAAGGGCAGCTCAAGAAGTCAAGTTTTATAATGAAATGTTCAAAGACCTAGAATAAGAAAGTTAAAAGGGAAGAACTTGCTCAGCATTTCTCAAACTGAAAGAACTGAAGAAAAAATTCAAGGCTTGACTTGAAATATTGAAGGATTCTTTGGGCAAAATATTGAATGATGCAGAAAGCAATAAAAGAAGATGGAAGGTATAACACAGTCACTGGACCGGAAAGGACTGGCTGATGTGAAATCATTTGAAGAGGTAGCATATAATTCAAGAACCAGTGGTACTAAAGGAAGGAAGTCCAAGCTTCACTGAAGGTATTGATGACAAACATTGCTCTGGGAATTGATGGAATACAAATTGAAATCCTTCAACGAACTGATAAAGCACTGGAGACTCTTGCTCAACTATGCCATGAAATTTGGAAGACAGCTGCCTGGCCAACCAATTGAAAAAGATCCCTATTTGTCCCCTTTTCAATTGGAGGTGACCCAGCGGAATGAAGAAATCATCAGACAACATTGTTAATATATGCAAGGAAAATTCTGAAGATCATGAAAAATGGGCTGTAACTGTACATCAATAGGGCACTGGCAGAAATTCAAGGAGACTTCAGAAGAGAACATGGAACTAGGGGATTTCATTGTTGACGTCAGATAAATAAATCTTGAGTGAAAGAGAATACCACAAAGATGCTTGCTTGTGCTTTATTTACTGTGCAAAGACTTTCAACTGTGGATCTGGACAAGCTATGGATAATATTGCAAAGAATGGGTTCTCTGAAACACTTCATTGTGTTTATGAGGAACCTTGTACATAGGTCAAGAGGCATTCATTGAAACTGAACTGTTTAAAATCAGCAAAGGTGTGTGTTAGTATGTGTCCTTTTATTATACTTAATCCATCTGTATTCTGAGCAAGTAATCTCAGAAGTTGGATTACATGAAGAAGAGCCGTAGATTCAGGGTTGGAGCAAGACTCACTAACAGCCTGTGATATGCAGATGATACAACCTTGCTTGCTAAAAGTGACGAGAATTTAAAATACTTAACTGATAAAGATCCAAGACTACACACATTCTTCACTATAGGTGTTGTTGTTGTCAGGTGCCATCGAGTCGGAACCGACTCATAGCGACCCCA